AAACTCGGTAGAACAATAACCGCAAGCGTTTGGTGGCCAGATGATACCAGGTGGTGTGCTTATTTATGAAAAAACAAAAACTACAACATATGAGTAGTAAAAAAGTTAATCACCTTGTTGTTGTTGTGAAGAGATTTGCCAATTGCACAATTGTGTCCAACTATATACAAACATAAATATATATTTAAGCAAGCTAACCAAGTTAGGCGATGTGGAATGCATTGCTTTAAGAGCTTCTGCGGCTGACTCTCTTTTGTCCCTCGCTACAATCAAGACACATATTTAAGAGCGCTTCTAAAGTGTGTTGGTTTTTGCATAGGCGTAGAGTTGTGGAAAATTGTATTAAAGTAAACATTTCGGAGAGATGATCAAAAGTAATATTGCTAAAGGAACTTTGAAAGAGTAGTGTCGAATAAGGTCGACGGGAACTGTGACAAAAGTATCTTGAAGAAATTTGGTAGATTATTTATATTGAGAAATCGCAGAGTATTGAAAAATGTCTTAGTGTTATTCGGAAGATATCTCGTGCCAACCTGTTCAAGTTCAGACATTTTATCAAGCCTCTGGAAATGAAATGTCAGGTATGACTGACATCTGATAATAAGAGGAGAACCTTTGGTCTGTTTACAATCTAAACCACTCCTAAGTAATATTAATATGCAACCTGTATTGCTGGATCTGCGGTGTTTCTTGCTCATCACAACTTTTGATATCGTTTTAGTACTTTCATGACAGTATCCAAATGATGTTGACTGACTTTTTCACTAAAACCCAGCTGCTTATCCATTTGCATAACTTTACTTCGAAATCTTGAGAAATTCAACAGAATTGCTGATTAAAGAAGATATAGTCCACCTATACAAACTAGAATGTAACGGTGTTATAATTTTTTTTAGATTAGCATAAGGCCACTCTCATTTTTTAGGAAAAATAATGAACTTTGTCAGCATTGGGGCTCTTTGTACAAAATTATACAAATGAATATCGCAAGTTCTACGTTTTTATACTTTGAACAGGGTATATATACAGAAAAGTCAGAGACTTTTTTATTTGAAAAAATATCTTCACGAAATTGGAGGTAAGTTATTGCCTTGGACAATGCTGTAATCTCCGAAGAAATTGTCCGGGCCGGATCACTATACTTTTAGCTGGCATACAAATAGAACGCACAGAATCAAGTACCTGTATGGAAAAATTTTTCATTTGAAAAGTTATTTTGACGAAATTGTCCATGGGTGCTTTTCCAAAGCAAAAGTGTCGAATTGAGTCATGAAAACATATAGCTACCAAACAAATTGACTGACCAAAGTTCTTGTTAGGAATATTTCGTCATCTAAAATGTAAAATAATATAACATTCATAATTTTACAGGCGAAGAAAAAACGATAAAGAAACCACTCATATTGAAACTAAATTTGAGTTTTGATTATGTAATGGTTAAATATTGATTATTATACACTTGCGTTTTGGTTATAAAATTGTTATATATTAGTTATTATATCTGACAGCGATTTTCGATTTTTCTTTGATGATATTGTGAAGGGATTTAAGCCTTGGTTCAAACAAAGTTTGAATTTAAAGTTTTTTCTTATTATTATTATACAAATTGGTTATCGTTGAAATACCAATTGAGTTATAAGACCAAATAATATTTAAATCGAGTTTTGAAGATTTTTTTTTAATGTATCTTTGTCGTCGAACTATAAAGAACTTAGCAATATTTTTTATTTTTTTAAATTTTGGTATTTTATCATGACTATCGCATAAGTTTGATATCATATCACTCATTATAATAATGTTCGTGCACTAAAAATTAACTAAATAGCTTTAAATGCTTTTGCATAAGTTGGACAAAACTGTGTGAAAGAAGGTAAACGAAGGCACCCTTGGCATTGAAAATGATCTCCGCCTTCAATGCGTCAGCAAATGAAGCGATGAATCCATATGATTTCTCATCAAGCCGTAGATTATGAATCATATTTATGCTACACAATTTTAATTTTTTTCCGTTAACTGGTTGATGACTTATCAACATTAAATTGCTCTTAATTTAAGCATTAATCATTTGTTAAACAAACGTTTGAAGTAAATACTGAATATTTAATATTTGATATTTGAAAATAAATCCCTAATCTTCCCTAACACTAATTTGTCCAATAATATTCAAGTGTTTGTTCAAATTGCCTCAACTTTTGTAAGATTTCTCAATTTTCTTGTACCCTTCATATACCATTCGATTAGCCTGTAATATGTTTACGCACGTGATGAAACTTCTTAATTTTCCCGAAACTCCTGTCGATCAACGCTTGTGCTTTGTTAATGAGATTGTGCAACATTGTCGAGTGGCAGGCTCACCAATAGCTGTTAAAAGGTGCCACAAGCCGAATAATGCATTTGATTTTTTACCTTTAACATCATGTGATTATGTTAATGTAAAGCAGGCACAAAGGCTGCTTGTTGAGACGGATATGAAGACATTGAATGTCATTTAAATTCAATTGAGAAAACGTGACGGAGCGCTCTTTCCTTTACGTTTTGGTAATGAAAATGAGTGCGAAGCAGAAGACTAAACAAATTCATCATAGAACCCAGATAATTGCTGATTGATCAATTTTGAGATAGTGGATATACATATCATCACCTAAAATGCAAAATAGCGTAACATCAGTTTTTAAAAATTTAAAGGCGAAGAAAAACCGTTATAATAGTTACCACCCAATGTTTAAACAATAGTTGAGTTTTGGTTATAAAATGGTTATGTATTGGCTATTATACATATATGATAGCGGTTCTCGATTTTTTTTGAAGATACGTGGTTTTTTTTTATTTTAGGTGGCGATGTGCACATGCATTTGTTGAAATACATATTCAGTATAACATTCCTTTCTATTAATTATTTTTAAAAAATTTTGAGTTGATATACATAAAAGCTTTGTGTTTTGAAGGAATCTATTTTGGAACTATTATTAGCGCGCTTTTTATAAAACAAAACATACCCATATATCCACTTGCAATGAATAAATGCCTAAAAGTATGCTTGCGTTATCAAAGAAAGCGACAGTTTGGACAGGTTATACTAAAATATTGGTAATTTTCAAGTATGACTTCAATTTATTTCCGTTTCCTCCAGGTTCCTCCACTCAAGGAAAGTAGTTGTTGTTGTAATCAATAGTAATATTTTTTTGAATGTGTATCATCATTTCTTCAGATGGTTAATGGCCATAGCACTTGTGACCAGCGTTTTGTAAGCAATTTTCTTTCGACTTACTATTCTATAGGCCCTAGTTCTCCTGTGCCCCCTTTTGACTAACTTTCTATCGATTTTTCTTTACTTTGGTAGTTCAGCTGATCTCGTTCCTCATAGTTCGTTTGTCTTCGGTTTCTGTTAAAAGAGATTACTTTACTATACATGCAGATTCTTAAATTTTATTTAGTATTACACATTTTTTTTATCATGTACGTACTACTTCGATAATCGAGGAACTAAACACGATGCTTGGTTACATTTAAAGAAAGCTTGCTACAAAAAGAAGCTCTATGGCACATCAATTAATGCAAAATACTCGGCGGTTTCTACGCCTGTAAAGAAAAAAATGATGAAGTTGGGTAACCACAAAATCAAAAGGTTGTCAACGCAGATTTGACGTTTATTAGATTTTTGTAGTGAATAATCTACTAAGAGCTACGCCTCTAAGGATAAGTCCTTATTTGGACCAATACTGTCAACGATTAAACCTTGTGAAGCGTGTAGCTTCGGCCAATAGAATAGAAATTGTCCTCCATTCGAACAACGCCAATGCCACACATCGTAGCTAACTGAACATAAGATCTAGGAGCCTTGTTGATAGCTTTATAATCATTCACCATATAGTCGATACCTAGCACCAAGATACTATTAGTTGTTCTTCTGCTATACATCAGCACATCCATTTTTTTCAATAGCCACAATGGTTTCTATGAGGTTTTCAACTATGCTACAAAGACTTAGTTTCAATACTAAAATAACCTAACTTTTCTAAAAAAAAATACAGAGAATCTTCAAACTTAATGGGTAGTTTTTATTATTATTCGAAAAAACATTCTCTGGCATTTATTTTTTGAAGATTATCTCTGTCAAATATTGGCTGCGGCGAAATCTCAGATGGTGCATGCGTTACGTTCAACTTTCGATGAACCTTTCGAGCATTTCTATAAGTAACTGACGCATGACAAACGGGATGTTTTGCTCCATGGCCTGAATTGTAACGAGATTGTCCACATCGACTTTAGATTTTACATATCATATACAAATTACATAGGGGCGCCATCTTGTTAAAACCAAATGTCGCCGAGATCACGAGCTTCAGTTTCGGGCCTCATATATTCGGTGCTCACCGGCATCATTTTTGAAGAAGTATGGATCTATATCTAAACCATACCAAACCGTTGTATTTACTGGATGAAAAGGCACCTCTTGAATCTGTTCAGCTTGCTCTTCGTTCTAAATGCGGCAATTGTGCTTGTTTACATACCCATTGAGCCAGAAATGGATCTCATCGCTGAACAAAATTTGGCTCAGAAACAGCGGATCTTCGTGGAACTGTTAAATAGCCCATAGAACGAAGCGATGTTGCTTTGGGAGCGTCTCACTGTAATGACTATTGGTGATCTGTCGAAATATGGTTATTGGAAAAAGTACCGCTACCTGAATCACCAGTTTCTTTCTTATTCGGATTTCTGAGTTGTTCTTTGTTTGAGATTGATTTATTTTGACTCATGTCTGAAGGCGATAATAACTACTAAGAAACTTGAGTTTGCTAAAGTGTGCCTAAAAGTATGCTTCAACTTGCAAGCTTGATTTAAATCTTATGCTCATTTGCACTTTTGTCAAATCTTTCGAGTAGACAGCACGAATTCACTTTTCTTTACATTAAACTTTATTATTAAACACTTAAATATTATTAATAAATCGTACAAAACATTCTTAATTTAGTATAAATTATTACAATACTTATGCGCATATTCGTAATTTTAAAATGTTCCGGTAGATGAAAATATTTGAAGTAATCAAAAGTTACTTATAATAACAACTCTTTATGATCAAAAAGCGCGAATCGCTCAATAAATAAGACGCGAACAGAGTTGAAGTTAGAAGATATGAAGCTTTAACGAATAAAATACGCAATAGGATATCGTTACATAACGACTCAGGTGGCATATCAGAGTGCACTGCAGTCTTTGGCAAGTGTGGTTCCGTGCAGCACTACGCATTATCGTTGGCCATCACTTTATTGATCCACGGCACAAATTTCTGTATGTTCGTATAAACGCCAGGCAGATGTTCACGCCCACAACCGATACCCCACGACACCAAACCGATGAGCGTTTTACGGCCATCCAAGGACAGTGTTAACGGACCACCAGAGTCGCCTTGGCACGAATCGCGTCCACCCTCCTTGTAGCCGGCACACAAGAAGACATCGTGTATTGCTTCACGACGACCCGCTGCACGGAACCACCGCTGACAGCGATCGTTCGACAGCACCTCGACGTCCACTTCCTTGATTTTGAAGATAATTTTATATATTAGTTTTGATTAAAAATATTAGTTATATTAATTAATACCTGCAGCACTGAGGGCACCGTGCTCTGTCCGTGCCGCGTGCGTCCCCAACCGGCTACTGTCGCCATTTTGCCCACCAACTTTGTGGCTGGCGGCGGCAAACATACCGGTATTATGTGCTGTTTGTAGACAACATTGCGATCCAGTCTTATCAGCGCCAAGTCGTTCTTGAAATCGGCCGGATTGTAGTGTGGATGCACTTCTTTGCGTTCGATGCCATATTCTTCGTGATTGAGTCGCTCATCTTGTCCACGCACATCCCATTCGCCTAAGCGGATTTTCATGTTAGAGTTGGCGGTGCTGTGGTGTTAGAAGTTGGAAAGTTGGTTAAATTTGTTAAATATTTTTTGTTAATAGAAAATAAAGTTTTAAAATAAAGTCAGTGCTTCGAGTAAGTAAGTTCTCTTTTGAAATTTTTTTTTTTTTAATTTTGCATTTAATACACGATTACGTGTATAAAGTCGAAAGGAAAGTCTGAACTTAAACAAATTTCTCAGATAAATAATACATCAGATTGTATCACATATAATATTCTTAGGCCGACGTTGGCTTGGTTCTGATCGTATGTGGTGGATTTCTGACTTAATATAAATGAGATGTTTAGGCAAGTGTCGTGGGTTGTGGACTACTAATTACCAAGATTAGAAACGACTTCATAACTACGAAAAGTGTTCAAGTGATGATAACTATTCGTTCGAGCTTCATAAATACTGACCTTCTCGACTACATAGCACCGACTTTGTTGGAAATGGACTGGTGGAATGGGCGTGACTTGACGCCAAAACTGTTGCTGCTTATTTGAAGGGCTTTTCTTCTTATTAATTGGCAGCTAAGATTATGGCTTTGATATATGCTAGCAAATAGTCGACAGACACTTCAACTTTTATACTAGCTGCCTTCGCTTTTGGAAAACTTGGTTTAATCGAAGTTTTTGAATTTTAAATTAAACATTTGTGTTGAGTTTTCTGGAACATAAGGATGTAGCCTCTATCGCCTCCTTGCCTCTCTTCGATTATTTTTTTGTAATTCATTGCATTATCAATTCTTCTCGTGAGAGGTTTTGGGATTAAGTCTTCAGCACTGAATATGATCCCTATATTTTGGCATATCCTCAAGTTAAACTAGGTATTTTATTAACTATTTTAAAGAAAGTCATAGTCGTTCAGAAATAAATTCCTATTATCAACCCTAGCTCATATATATGTATATTTCTAGGTAAATTGCTTTCGTCTAGTCAATTAAACTTGCTTTACTTTGCACAGGTCAACATCACTCTTTCATAGATAAGCAGGTCTTAACACCAAATTTGTTCATATTCTTGAATTTCTTCTGAAAATGTTATTAGTATTAAAATCTCACTCTAAGCGGTATATATTATACTTTTCATTCTAGCAAATATAATAAATAACTCGCTTTCTTCAGATATAAGAAAATATGTATATATTATATTAAACTGTGATCTATCGGCTATGTACGAGTGAAGAGCAGGACTCCTGTCTATTTATATTCTAATCTCACTTGAACGTTCTAAGTCAAATTTTAGCAATTTAAGCAAAATTATGCATACTATGTCTATTCATATCACCATACTACTATGAACAAAATATAGTAAGATTTTGTTTATAATTTTAAAATTCTTAATTGGTTCCTGAAACTTTATGTCGTCCCACTCAAACTAATCCCCTTGGCCTCTACATACACTTGTGCTAATATTTTTTCCAATCCGCGAAACAGTTGTTAAAGTCAATTTCCTGAATAGTCTTCAATGTGGATACCGATTGATGTTTAATGTCTTTAATTGATTCAAAACAGTTTCACCGAGCGCAAAACTCACGACAAATCAATGCAGTATGCGACGGTGCATTCGTGTTGTAAAATCCAAGAGACGGCGACCTCATTTTACGAATGACTACGCGAAAACGACGCTTAACACCCAAATAGTATTTCTTCTTGATAGTTTGTCGACTGTCAATATAACCTTGATTTTTGATCTGCTATTCGTGGTTTTTTCGGCTTCGGCTCTCCTTTGCCACGATATTCGGCCGTTTGATTGTCTGTTTCTGGGTCTTAAGCATAGATCCAAGACGCATCGTTAGCAATGACATTGATAGCCTGATAGTCGGAAAGCATTGCTTCGCAGAAGTTAACACGACGATTTTATTCGAAAAAATTAAGTGATTTTGGAACCAATCGTGCTTTCTCTTTTCTTAGCCCTATATGATTATAAAAATGGTTTTCAGTGATCTTTCCGTTATTCAAAAATGCCGATTATTAATTGTCGTTTGCGTATCAGGAATTTGATTTCGCACACAAAATGTAATGAAATTCTCTTGCTTTTCGATCAATTAATATTCATTCAAAGTCTTGCATGCAAATTAAACACGATTAGCCGTTTCTGAACTATTTCCTTTATTGGTAAATTATTAGCATAGTATGAAAGCCGAAATTTGGATGCACAATTTTTCTTCAGTTAGAGGAGAATATGTTCCAATATACTATTTAATCACTGTGAATGATAAATGACACTGCGCTGAAGCATATTTACGTCTAAATCCTATTATAATACAAAGCAACACAATTCTTTATCAACGATATAGACTTAAATGTGTCTGACTTCTGTTAAATATATCAAAATTGACGAAAGGTAAGATCTCAAGAGTGTAAAGATCGGGTCATTCTATTAAGATTACTAATTGCTAAAGTTCTTGAAATATACTTTATCCCGCTAAAAATCAGTAAGATTTCATTAAATAGTGGAAATTTTAGCAAAATTTATAACTGATGTTTTTATGGCATAGATTACATAATTAATGATTTTGGCTTTTGCGCATAGTCAACATGAGTACTGAGCTGTTTATGCAAAGATACCGTAACCGATGTCGTCGTCGGACTCTTCTGAGGGCGCGGTGAAGTAATTGTGTCCATTTTCGTGTATTTTTGCGAGAATTCTTAAAAATACCTTAAATTTACTGAAAACTTCAAGCCTAAAGCGATAACTTATTTGATATAGCAAAAAAATATTCATTGATTTCCTAACCGCCGATTTTGTAGAACAATTTTGTTGGGCTCGTACGAAAAAAAAAAACAAGTTCCTAATTTTATAATAAAAGACTTGCCTAAAGACAAACTTTTGAATATCAGCTATCAGGTTTCTACGAGTGACATTATGAAATTCTGTTTAAAATGGCAGTCATTGAAAAAATTCAAAGCAGAAGATTTTTCTTTTATTAGACCTCACAGTATTACTCAAATACCGTTGCTACTTACGTTGCTACACAATGCGCCGCCGTGACAACCCAGCGATTGGAGATCAGCGCGCCACCACAGCTAAGCTTGCGTGAGAGAAATCCACTCTTGATCAGCGCTACCTGCCAGGGATGTGAACCGAAGCCCGTCGAGTGTCCACCCACAATGCGATTGGAGCGCGCGTATACCTCGCCGCAACCTGCAAGAAAATGTGGACATTTTTATTTGGAATTTTTTGAGAAGAAACATAACTGAAGAAAGAAATAAAAGAAGACCGTGCAGAGCCAATCACACCGTGAGACTTAAAAATAAACAGAAAAGCACTCAGAAGATATAGAATAAGTCAATAATAAGTGCAAAATCATTTCAGTGCATCATTCTAGATATTTACAAACAAAGAAGAAAGTAAAAGTAGTAATCAAAATAAATATAGTATGTTCAACAAAACTCAAGAACCCAAACAAAAAATACTAATAGTGAAAGTTGTAGAAACATCAAAACAGCTTTTGGTACCCGGCACTGGTCGATACGTTGTTCCGTCAGCATAAATTCCACCACCGACGCTGCCAGTGTAATCTTCCGCCGCTTCGCCTGCATTCAAATCGAGTACATTACCCACCGCAAAAGGCTGTGGATGTGGCAACAACTCATGCGGACCGCTCTCCGACGAGTGCGCGGGTGGTCGATCCACATCGAAGAAAGTGTCTAAATGATTGGTGATGCCGTTGCCCAGATGATTTGACTCATGCTCCCAATTGCTGGACTGTGCCACAGCGCCACCCCCCGTCGTTGCCGGTCGATAGATGTGCGGCTTGTAGGGTCGCTTGGTCGTGTACAGCGATTGCGTCACTTGGTACTGGTGATTACTGATGACGGTGGGGTAGTGATGAACTGGCGGTCGTGAGGCACCCAGTGTGTTATGCGTTGCTATGTTGGTGGTGTGTACGTTGCTGCTCTGTGTTGCACCATTACTATTATGTAAATTGTATAACTGTGAACTGCTGCCGAGGCCACTATGCGGCGGGTGCTTGTTGTGGCCCGCCAAGTCGGGATAGATGTCGTGCAAATGTATGATGTCACCTAGATTGAGTCGAGGAGCGTTTTTTATATAATATATATATGTATATAAGCATACTTATTTATATTTATGTTTATCTACATATATTTTACATATAATGCTTGAATATGAATACGGTTAGCAAAGCTAGGTTTTGCAAAAATTTACAAGCATAAAATATTTACATAAGTTTAAGGTAAAAAATAGATGTGGTATTATAATTTTGATTTTATTATTTTTCTGTATATTTTTTTTTTTACGCTGTAAGAAAATATTCTGGCATAAAATTTTGTAAAAAGACCGATTAAAATATTAAGAATGGAAATTTATGAAATTAATGCCACATATGACACTTAAATTTTTGTAATACTAACTGGGTTTGCAATAGAAACCCTACAAAAGTATGCCGATAGGGACAGCAAACGACGCCATATTTTTCACGATATTTTCACATTTCTATTGAGTAAAACTTGCCATTTCATCATGGAAAGATATACGATTCAGCAAACAAGTAGAAACTATTAAAATTTACCACCGAAAATCGGATTTTCCCGTTTAAGTGAGACAATAAGGTGCACGTCGAGGAAATATTGCTGCCTCTAGCGCAGAAATTGAGAAACAAACAAACAGAAAACGTCGTTCTCAACCGTTTGGTATCTCTGTTATGTCGAGTGAAGAGATCTTGGCCTACATTCTTACAAGTTCAAATTGACACAAGAACTGTACCCGTTTGACCGTGACCGTTGAACGTGAAATTGCAGCAGTATCGGCAGATTTATGCTTGAAAACCGTCGAAAATTTGGTTCAGCGCTTTACTTCTGTAAATGTGTGTATTTTGTTTAAAAGAGTAGCGTTCTTATTGAAAAATAAACCTTTATGTGAGATTAACGTTGTTCTTGTGAGCTTTATTCATTAGCACAAGGTTCTCTCATAATAATAATTAAAATATACTGTCCTTTATGACTTATGCAAAAAACTACAATTATATAAGTGTGTCTATGTAAAGCTCACTATTAAATGCTGAGTTGTTGAATGGAAAAAATCATGTAATAATTTTCCAATAAAAAAACGATACAAAACGTCAACTTCGGTTCATCGAGCTAAACTACTCCACATTAATAACAAAATCCGAAAAGGAACTTGATTTCGTTCTGTCAGTCAAAATATGGTGTCAAACAAGAATTTTTAATTATTATAATTAAAACAATTTAAAACTGGACAAACAATTTCAATATTTACAATTTCGAAAAATATTACTATACTTTGAATAACCGATCAATTGAAGCTGGCGCTACTGTAAATACAGATATCAACTGAATGGTAACATCATACCATTAACGATATCTGGGTATGAGAAAGGACGAGTTGATGATCCGGCGAAGTGTTTGGAAATTTTCAAGCATGACAAAGCAGAGTCTTTGTGTCGTTGTGGATGAAACATGGCTCCATCGGAAAATGACTACGTTGGAAAATAAAGCACAATCAACACACGCCGAAAAACGGCCAAATTTGAAGGAAAAGAAAGTACTGTTTCAAGGCAAAGCACCTTGTCAAAGGTCAGTGGAAATTATGACAGAAATTGCTTCCAAATCCACCATATTCTCCAGATCTGGGCCTCAGGGACTATTAGCTCTCCTCGGATTGCTAAAGTATGCTCGTTGGGGAAAATATTTGCGAATAGAGGTGATTGTTAAACTGAGGCCTATTTTAAAGCAAAGGACAAATCGTACTAAATATAATATCGAAAAGTTTAAGAGTCGCTATAATCACTCTATCACCTTTGCGGGGAACTGTGATGAATAAAAAAATAAAATGAATTTTGCCAAAAAATGTGTTATACTATAGTAGGCCGTACATTTTTCAAATGACCTGTTATGAATGAAATCCTACTATATCTTTTTTTTATTTCATGGCATATAATACGTGGAGGATCTAATATTTTACTAAGTGAAATAATTAAGTCTTGTCACCGCGACCAGTTTATGGCGTTGGTTAGCATGTTAAGTAATTTGATGCTTCATTCAGCACCTAGTAACAATATTTTTAATTTTTCCTTGATTTTAAATTTAGCAAGTCTTTCCTTAAGATATTTTTGTACGAGGTAGGCAAGCTTAAACAATTTTAAACTCATTTCATTTCCCGCGGTAACTTTTAAGCAACGATTATGTTTTAGCGCCTTCGCTAACAGTTCTCTAGTTAAAAAATTAGGAAATATTTTTTCTCACTTTTTCTTTCGTTTCTTCTTTATTATACAATCAAAAAGGCTTGCTGACAGCACCACCCCTCCCATCCTTAGTCACCAATTGTCACCTTTCATTTTGCGAGAGTGAGGTAAAGATTTCCGTAGATCGCGTGTGGCGAAGATTTTCAATACATTCACTCAACCACAGATGTAACTTGGACTTGAAATGTTGTACAAAAATATGGGAATGTCACCGAAACGAAATAACTACTTCCGGCTATTAAAATGCAGATGTATTCGCACAAACGTACAACCATGCATTTTGATATGAGTTATATAACACATTAAATAAGACAGCTTTGAGAGAGTTGGGAAAATAACTAACATATGTACGTAACAAAAACACAAACAAAAAAAAAAAAAAAAAATCCATACATCCATACACAGACATAGATTATAAATTACAAATGTAACAACAAATGAGTTTATGGCGAAATTTTCACGTTTGCATCAAAGTTGTGAATTTAATTTCAGGTCTTAAACCTAACTCTATATTTATGTATGTATATTTAAATTAAAGTTTTTCT